CCTCTAGAGCCCAGAAGAGCAAAGTATTCTTCTGCTCTCTGTGTCAGTCCTTTTAAATCCTTTGAAAGCAGCTCATCTGGCTTCGTTCAGTCCTCCATTTCCCCAGTAAAACAATCTCAGTGCCATCAATGTGAGATAGTTTCTGGGTCTTTCTTCACGGTTCCCCTTCTAAATTGTCTCTCCTTTGTCAAAATCCCTATTTCCTTGTGGCACTCCATGAAGTGTACATGCATTTCACAACACAACAAATGTGGCTTGACAGAGCAATTTAGCAGACCTTATGAAGGCTTGGGTTTTTGTTTGTTTTGTTTTTTTTATTAAGCTAATTGACAGATAATTGTGTCATTATAAATATTTTACAATGTGCTGATATATTAGTAAGTTTTCAGTAATGTTTAGTGAAGATTTACACAATATCCGCAAATTAAACTGTTCTGCGTTGTTCACTTTACAGGAAGAATTGTTAGAAAAATAGTACAAATTGTTTTATTTAATGTTGTTATAAAACAAGTAAAAAGTTAGATAACCTCTTGTTCAGCTTTCTTAATTATTCAGTTATAACTTCTAATATGTAATGAAAAACTAACAATTATTAATCTCTATGTTTGCCCTAATTCAATATCTGCCTTCTTGTCTTATTTTCTTTTTACCAGTATCCTAAATTAGGGGATTTTTCTAAGGATGGAACACTATTAAAGTGAAATTCTGTCAATGCAAAATTTAAAATAATATCATATAGGTATAAGGTTTTATTCCTGTGAAATGTATTCCCAGATATTGCTCTTAAGATTATCAATAAATACACAAAGGATTCTTCTGAATGGATTAATTGGGTTTTTTTTCAGTGAATTAAAGTCTACTAAGTTTTCTTAAAAACAAAAGTAAATAATTTTATTAATGTTTTTCAGAGTCAGAAGTGAAATTGTTTAACTGTTTTATGTTTTAATATTTTTTAAGATGTTAAACTATGGTTTATGGTAGTGCTTAAAATAATTATTTTACCACTGACCAAAAATAAATCTTAGTGATTGTCATACTGCTACTAATCTTATGCTTTCAGATGAATGCACTTAATATTCTTACTGGCAAGGGGAAATCTTACATGAAATATAGGTGGCTCGGTATGTACTGGAGTGGTTTATGTTGAATTACCACTTGGTTCTGTTCTGTGGGTTCTCTAATTCAGTTGCACCAATGCCATCCAACCAAAGAAGCATTCAGATTTTAAGTATTCAGATTTAAAGTATCCATATTTGTTTGCAATGTCTTTATTTAAATATGTAAAGATGTGTTTATAGAGTTACTGAAGCATATAGAGTTAGGAATAAAGATGAGTAACATACTTTTATTATATTGGATTCAGATTCTATCTGTCGAAATATTTAAAACTTCATGCATAGTATTGCTGGACCATTATCTTGTCAGTACTGGAGAATTCAATTTTTGTAAGATAAATCTCGCTATAGATTAACCTGTCAACAAGCCATAAAATAGAGAGGAAGTCATGATTTTACAAAATAATTTACATTTTAAAGTAATTTAATCCTCTCCTCAAACTTAAAGAAAGATATATCCTTAGGACAGGATATAATGAAGAATACATTAGAGTCAGTAAAAATACAAGATTATATTATAAGATATATAAATAAGTATTCTGTTATGGCTTCAAAGCCTAAGGCTGATGTGAAGAGGGCATAGACGGTAGTGCACAGAGGAAATCTATGAGATTTTCTTTCTGATCTCAGTTCTGCCACTATTAGCAGGATGGGGTTAGGTAAGGCTCAGCCAGTCTCGGCTGTAGTTGCTTCATCTCAGAAAAGCAGGGGTTGAACTTCAGTCTTCTCTCATGAGCTTTCCAGTTCTAAAATTCTGTCATTTAAGGAAGGAGCCATCATGAGCTTACCAACGATTTCCATCTGTTAGTATACTGGTTTGGCTCTTCAATTCAAATTATTTTTCTAAAGTTATTTGGAGACTTTAAAAGAACTTTCCCTCCATCTTGAAATACTGTCGGTCTTTTCTTAGAAGCAAATCAACTTTTAAGGACAAAAACCATATCTCTAAAGCAACGGTTGACTTATAACCAGTTGGAATCTCCTGAAATGAGCTAGCCCAGTGAGCTTCCTGGTTTTTATTTTTTGTGATGATTTAACCGTCCTGTAAACAAAACCAGCAAGAGCTGTCCTTGATGACCTGATTAAAATATAAGTGTTTTTTTTAAATAATTTTGCTAGTATTGTTTTTTTAAAGGATCGACTCTAAAAGTGTTTGATTGCAAATGATTGTGCAACAGTCCTGAAGAAAATCCGATATTGATGATGGTATTTTTCTTCCCTTCACGTTGTCTTGATACCGAATAATGGTTGGATTTAACCTTTTTCTTTCTCCATAGTTACTCAACTTTTGAATAAGAGTTCCAGAAATGACAATTCTGATCAGTATTATTCACAAATGATAAGAAGCATTTGTATAGGTACAGTGGGGGAAAGATAACCTTTTTTACATGAAGAGAAAACATACATAAAGGAAAAAAAACACACAATTATGGAAACATGAAACTGTGGGTTTTTTCCTCTATATTCAAGCTAAAGCTTTTATTTTTAATTTTACTGAAAAAATGTAAAGTTAAATAACATTCCTTAGAAGCAGGTATGTTCAGACATACATACACATAAATATATGCAATATTGAAATTTAGTTGTGGGAATCGCCATGGCTTGCCCTTGAATATTTACTCTCCTTGGTTGGTGTGATAATCTTAACTTTAAAACAAATGTGTTTTTTTGTTTGACATGTATAAACTGTACAAACGCTTATTAAAGACTCATTTTATTAGCATGTGTTAAGGGGGGTTTCTTATTTTCTAACTAACATTTCAGTATTTTTAATTATGATAAACCATGTAACACGGACTCATGAATTTTTGGGGCAGTGGAAATTATTTCCTTTGACTCTTTTTTCTGCATATCATCAATTTGCTTTTTACTCATGTTTCTTCTACTGTCGCTGTAAGCTTACTTGTTGTTTTTTCTTTCCTTTTCTTCATGCTGTCGTTTAGAGCCCTACAGAGAGACAAGTATGGGAGTAAAGCTAAACATTGCATATCAAATGTAATTTTTTTTAGTTCACTTTTATTGCATCACATATAGATGATGTAGTTATTAAAAACAGTTCATCTCACAATTTAAAAACTAAAGAGCCTTTGAATCGACTTATATAAATTTATGTTAATAGAGATTAGACGCTTTTGTTGTCTGATTCTTTTATTGTGTCACATGATCAACATAGTTGTTAAGTCTCATGTAATGTTTGTGTGAGTTAAATTGTTTTTAAATTAAGCATTTATTTTTGCTAAGTAATGCATAAACTTTTAATTTTTATTAGTACATTCCATCATACAAATGTATGTCACATGCAACATGTCCACTTTATTTTACTATGGCTGTTTCCAACCTGTACCTAATGCATTGACAACAGAAATAATACACACGTTTCAATGCATCAGTCACTCAACCATAACCATCCAGCATACCATAGCGGCCTCCACAGCAGCAATCACCCATCACATATGGCCCTTTAAAGAGCATTTACTTTTATTTTTTCTTAACATTGTGGATTTGTCTACAAGATATCTTATAACATGAAAATAAATCGCTTCACCCTATGTCTGTGATGGCTGCTTTTTAATGAATATTTTATGCATTGCTGTTTTTGAAAAGCTATTACTTGAGTACAGCGTATGCATCAGAAGTCCGTATAAAATTGATATATTGGGGACACTTTATTTAATCCAGCAACAAACTAGTTCAATTTGATAAGCATAACTACATCACAGATATAGAATGAATGCTATATTTTCACAAGTTAGAAGTGTATTGAGAAGTTTATAGAATTCTTCAATTAATTGTTCTGTAAAGAAATATCCTTTCTTATTTATGAGTATTGGTTAAATGTCGTGTCCTATTTTCTTTTGTGGTTGCATTTGAACTGATTTTGGAACTATAGATTCTTGGATTTCTGTTTATTCAAGAGAATGCAAAAACCTTGAAGAAGCATCTGGTTAAATTTTATTTCACTGCAGCTATTTGTTCCCAGAATAAAATGTTTAATCTCCTTTAAACTCAAAGTTTAATATGCACACAAAGTCATCACTCATTATGGCATGGAATCTTTAATAAGGACACTATGTTTTTAGGAATCAGATCCCTGTGTCTTTACACATTCTTTTGTAGTATTACCTCCTGACCCTAAACAATCACTAATGGGTTTATATGTAGAAAAAAAATTTAGAAAGTAAATCCAAATATTTTTGTTTTGAAAGTTCCTATGTACAAATTATTTTGATGTGCCATTTACTTGACTAAGCATTATTTCATGACTACATCACTCTGACAAATTTAACATAATCCTTTTGTGGTTTTGTGTGTAGGAATTAATTTGACTCTTACAAAGTTATATATCAAATTGTTAGAAACTGCTTGATTTCTTGTACTTTTGACCAGCATATTCAAAGCACCACACATGAATTATGTTAATACTACACCTAGTCTAAAGCTAAGACACGTAAAATTAAAGGTAATGAATTACTGAATTGACTTTGATGTGTATATGAATGATAACACCAAAATTTTGTGTTATTTTTTTCTAAGTTATAACCAAATATGCTTCAGATAAAATCAGGCAATGTTTGTGTGTGTGGAAATTGCAAATTTATAGATTTTTTTAAATTATTACTTTCAAGATTTCTTTTAGATACTTTTCCACTTATAGGGTTTCTATCAATTGTCCAAGTGTATATATAGATATGTGCATATAGATTTAGTAGTATTTTTTGTTTATTTGCAAACATTTTATACTTAATTGAACATGCTAGCAATTTATACATATACTTCATAGTCGAATGTTTTTGCTTGTGTGTGTGTGTGTGTGTGTGTGTGTGTGTGTGTGTGTTCTCTGGCCAATTGGCTGTAAATGTCATAGTGTTTTGTAATCTTTTTCAGAGGGGCTTCTGAACAATGCCAGGGATACAAGTGTCATGGATACTCTACCACTGAATGGTAACCATGGCAATAGTTACAGCATTGCCAGTGGTGAATACCTGAGCAACTGTGTGCAAATCATAGACCGTGGCTATAACCACAACGAGACCGCCCTAGAGAAAAAGATTCTGAAGGAACTCACTTCCAACTATATCCCGTCTTACCTGAACAACCACGAACGCTCCAGTGAACAGAACAGGAATCTGATGAACAAGCTGGTGAATAACCTCGGCAGTGGGAGTGAAGACGATGCCATTGTCCTGGATGATGCCACCTCCTTTAACCATGAGGAGAGTTTGGGCCTGGAACTCATTCATGAGGAATCTGATGCTCCTTTGCTTCCCCCAAGAGTTTACTCTGCAGAGAACCACCAGCCACACCATTACACCAGAAGGCGGCTCCCCCAAGACCACAGTGAGAGCTTTTTCCCTTTGCTAACCAACGAGCACACAGAAGATCTCCAGTCACCCCACAGGGACTCTCTGTACACCAGCATGCCGGCACTGGCTGGTGTGCCTGCCGCAGAGAGCGTTACCACCAGCACCCAGACCGAACCCCCACCGGCCAAATGTGGTGATGCCGAAGATGTTTACTACAAAAGCATGCCAAACCTAGGCTCCAGAAACCACGTCCATCAGCTGCACACCTACTACCAGCTAGGTCGCGGTAGCAGTGATGGATTTATAGTTCCTCCAAACAAAGATGGGACCCCTCCAGAGGGCAGTGCAAAAGGACCAGCTCATTTGGTCACTAGTCTATAGAAGATGACACAGAAATTTAAACCAACAAAACTGCTAACACCTGGTTGACTGTTCTGAGTTGCTATAAGCAGTGGTAATAATGTGTGTACTCCTAAATCTTTATGCTGTTCTCGAAAGACAAACTCTCAGACTTTTTTTTTTTTTTAAACTGGGATTTTTAGGTCAGCCCAGGGGAGAAGGATAACTGCTGAAATTCCCCTGTGCCCTCTCCTTTCCTGTCTTTCCCCCTCAGATGGAGACTTCATTATGTTAATGAACGAGATATGAAGAAAATGGCGCTCATTGTGGCCTTGTTGAATTCTGTTGTGTTTGTTCTAACATCTCTGATGCTCTGTTACTATCGTTACAAGGACCTGATTTTTAAAAGGCCAGAATGGTTGTTTGAAATTAGTAACAATGCTGCATCTAGATTGGAGTGCTGCACAAACAAACATAAAAACAAAGCAAAACTGTATCACATAGTGGTTTTTCGTCACTCACAACCTGAATTCACCACAGCCGGGATAGCTGTGGAATACAAAATAAAACAACAAAATTAATAATGAAATGGAGGGGAATTCTAGAATTATATGCTAAATGCATATTTTATGATTTGCTGTATTAACTGATGATAAAACTAATGGCAGAAAAAAATTGAACAATTTCTATGTAATGTACAGATACTAGCATTGCACATATAGTCAGCTTTCTGTTCCTCCAGAATTTGAGTCCTGTTAATGTAGTGGAAAAAAAGAGATATTTTCTTTTTCTTTCGTGCTGGTCTTGCAAGTTTGTCTACCAGTAAGAGAGCAAAGTTTCCTTCCTTTCTTCTTTCTTTTCTTCCTTCCTTCATTTTCTTTCCTTTTTTTTTCTCTTTTTGCTTTTTTTCTTTCTCTTTTTTTCTTTCTTTCTTTCTTTCTGCTTTTTCTTATTGCTTTTTTTCTTTAAAACTTCACCTGGCAAAAAAATAAATAAATAAATAAATAAATGAAACTATCACTTTATAAGAATCATTTTCTAGTAATACAAACAAATTATTTTTTACAAAAAAAATAAAATAAATAAAATTAGACTTCCTTCCCTCACTATATATCTTTATTCAGTCAGAGTATTTCCAGAAGCATTTTTGCAAATTAGAGCAGGACAAACTTTTATGTTTACAGCGCACATCTGTTGTAATGCAAAGCATATTTGGCAAGCAGTTTATCACCAAGACAGTAGCTATGATTCTAGAAGTCGAGAGGTGTCAATAGAACTAGTGGGGCTTCTGCATGTGAAAAAAAAAAAAAAAAAAAACAATATCCCATAGGCGTTAAAGTGCTGAATGCTCAGTCTGATCCCCAAGTGGGCACCTGCACTACCAATTTTTAAAGGAAATTCACTCCCTTGTAGTAAGAAACGAAAGGTCAAGTTATTTTGAAGTGATTTTTTTAAAAAGACTCTTCTGTTTATTAACAGGAAAATTTATTTATTTGACAGGATTTTAAGTAATGTAGGAATACAAGAGGTAAATTAGCAGCACATATAATTTTTTTTAAATTTATGATCCATTTTGTATGGTCTCAAAGTTGGATGACCTCATTACTAATATTTGTTGTAAAAGTGAAACTTGTTTGCCAACCAATAAACAACTGATTGAGATTTAGAAGATATCGTTTTGATGTATGTACTATATGATTAATTATTCTTTTCATTTTTCTCGCCTTTCTTCTGTTTTCCTTATATATACTTTGCCAATCCTCTATGGCCCAAAGGAGCCATGCGAAAGAAATCAGATCTGCCTAGATGGATAACCTAAGCACAAAATTATACCGTTTTTGCAGAGAGAGTAAACCAGGAAAATAGGATGGACACGTTTATGTTGGAAAAAATAAGATATATAACTCACGGTTAAGCAGGTTCATATATGTTACTGTGTGCTTATTTTATAAAACAGCTGCAGTCACTATGCCTGCTATAAAAACCAGCTTCAATCAGAGATTTAAGTATTGAATTGGATGAGTGGGTGGGTCATGTATTTTCCTTCCTTGTAAGTTCCATTTCGATGGTAGAAATTTAAAGTTACTCAATTGGCTAAAAACTGCCAGAATAGTGGCAAAAAAGAATATCCATTTTATAAAGATAATAGAAGATATTTATGCTAATTTTTCTTGTCCCCTGTACGGAAAAAAGCCCTTCCAAAGTAACTTTGCAGATCTCCAATTACTGAAGAACCTTTACCAAGAGTGTCTGTCTAAGGATGGAATCCCTTCTAGAGCAAAGTCAGAATGAATTTGCCAAATTATAATTTCTCTTATACTATGTGATATTCTGGTGATTTATTTTTTCTTTTTTCTCCCAAAATCTAAACACCACCCATCTATAAATTAATTTCCTAAATTAAGATGAGAAGGAGTAGTTTACAGAATAGCCAGTAACCTATATATAGTTTAAAAATATAAGACAAAAAAAGATTTTCTGTGCTGGGCCAGAGTACATCAAAACCTTAATATCACCTCAAAATATCTTATGCATCATTCCTTTTTGGTCACTTAACATAAGTATTTTTTAAGTATCTGGATTTTTTTTTTTTTAAGTTGCAGGAGAACCTCAAGCTTTACTGGTAATTAGGTTCTCACATACCACACTATGGCAATATTAGCACCTGACAGGTGGTTAGCCTATCTGTTGCATAGAGTACATCTGGCAATGAAAGAACCCTTTTTAGACAAGTTTAAGGTAACTTCAGAAACACAGATGTGATCTGTGGATTATGAGCACTTATGCTTGTTTTGCCAATTCAACAGAAATCTATGTGAAAGCAGCTCTGTCGGTAAGAAGCTAGTTTCACAGAACAATGGGGAAACTACCTCAACTCAGCTTGCTGATGCTGCCAATTCTGATTTTCTGATATTGCTACCTCCCTGCCCGTTATCTCTTACGTTTCATTACATGGAAATTTGAAACAGGTAGCCTCCCCAGCTTTACATAGACCAAGCTGAGGAAAATCAATTGAATACAAACTGATGCAGAAGGCGATTTAGTACTGTCAGTTACTACCAAGCTCTTGAATCAAGATGAAAGGATGAGATTTTAAAATTTGAGTACATGAGAATTGTGCTTTTAGAAAGACTTAAGATCCCAAAGACTTTTACAGAAAGAGATTGTTCCCCCAAGTTTTATGCCACTATAATACAAACAAAACTGTAGATAAAGGAGTTAATTATGTATACATTTCAATAGAAATTTGTGTATATCTAACATGTATTGATTTAGTCCGTTCTACACTAGCAAGGGTTAAATTCCTGAGCTTGATTCTTTCCCCATGTATTTCCTTCTGTAGCTATTGAAAAATTAATAATTTTAATTTTTTCTTGTTTTTTCCCCACCTTTGGTTGACTATGTTTCAGTACCCTGTGCCATTCATGACCTACTTATCTGCCTATTTCTGATGTGTTTATCTGATTTTCTATAAAGAGGTAAATTTTCATCAAACAGACGTACTGTACATACATAGCACATAATTGATAGCTGCGAGTTAAAGTTATGCCAATGAGACAGACCCAATTATTATTTCCTAGTAAAATAATATTTTTATAATATTTTACTCTTAAACTTCTTTTTTTTTCTTTTTGAGGTCTATTTCCATGGTACTTTATCAGGACACTAGCTAACAAACCTCATGTTTAGCTGATTCACAGACTATTGGATTGTTGCACAGCCTGTGTTCCTAATTGATAATATTTATGGAGAAATCTAAATTTTGTGAGGGAGAAATAGGTTTAACTTCCATTAAGTTTTTTGAGTATCCCTCTGGTTCCACTCTATCAAAGTTAAAAATACCATAGTTGAATAATAAATTGCTATGCTAGAATAATCATAATGACAAAAAAGCTCTTTTGTGAGAACAATTACTTTGAGATAAAAATAATCAGGAAACTGCATTAATCAAATGATGATAATGGAAATACCCTTAACTTCCTGTCCAACAAATTCACAAAGACTCTAAATTAAAGTGTGGTTTATGATATGTATTTTTAAAATCCCCATTAGCCTAAAAGTGTCAACATATTGATAAAAGATCTTTAAAATTTAGTGTTTTTAACTTAGTTGATATGATGAAATTTTTCATGGTAATGGAGATAAACATATAAGAGAATTAGTAATATTCACATAGAACCTGTAGACTTAGTTTTATGCAATATCTTCAGCTTTTTCCCCACACATGTTCAGATTGATTGACTGGTTTGATTACTTTTAAAAAATGACATTAAAAAGGTTAGATTTACTTTCTGCATCATAGAGCCCAACAGGGAAAAGAAAAATAGTTTCTGGGTTGTCCAAGATCAACTCCAAATCATCAATAATCATCTCCTATTAGTGAAAGAATAATCTATCTTTACTCATTTGTACTGTACCAAAGTGCTACTGCTTGAGATGTTTTTGGAACCAGCAAAACACTATAGAACTACTGTGAATGTCAATTCAGATTTAGAGAGAGAGAGAGAGATAAATAAATCCAAACCCTAATTCGATTTTGAGCAATTCTAAAAATATTGACATGAATATATTTTCTTCTCTAACAAAAGTATCTGAGATAAATAACGATTGTACAATCTTCCTAGTATATTGTAGTACCAAGGTATTAAGATTTAATTAGTTCATGATTATAACTTACCACATAAATACTTGCTATGCATTTCTAAAAATACTTTAAATATTATGTTAGATTTCTGTGCATTAATAAATTAGGAACATGGAAGCATAAGAGTGAAGCAGAAACATTACAAAATATCTTAAAAAAGCATTTTTGCGCAAGTGAATTAATTCAACGTGGAGAGATTCTTTGAGATCATAAAATAGATTTGACGGATCCCAACCATAAATTCAGTTTTGAAATCACCAAATCCATCATTTTTAAGCCATCTGAAAAATATTGATAAATATCTGAATTTTCACTTCTAGTTAAAAAGTGTTGGTAGCTGCTTCTTTCCTGCCTAGGCCAGAAGAGGAATCTTTCCTATTTGTTAAATATCCTGATTACTTCTACTTACCCCTTTGTTTTAAAAGTGAAATAAATCTTTAAATTTCACCTATTCACATACTTACATACTTTGATTCCTTTTATTTACAGCTGCAGAGGAAATAACTTTGTGACTTTTGCAATGAAACAGGTAGTTATTATGGTTTTGCCTATTTCATTCTTAATAAAGTTGTTGCTATACCCTCTTTCAAAAAATGAAAAGTCAGCACGTCTCTAACATTTAGGACCTTTAAGTTATTATTCAGATGTCTTCATTTCAACTATGTTTTGATGTTTCTTTCTCTCTCATAGTAATATGTGACACAATTTTTTCTCATTTACTTTGTGTCCCATTAGAGTATTTCAAAGGTAAATGCAAACTATGATGTTTAAGAAGGCATGTGAGGGGCGAACTTTGACTTTATATGAAGAAGTCAAGGAAGACTATACGAGGAAAAAAAGCTTCCATTTGGATAACCAGATCTTTTCAATCACAATATGAACAGAAGAAGGGCAGAACCAAGTTGGCAGACTTCTGGTGAGGTGGCAGGACCTAAATTAGAATTACAAAGAAAAAAATTCCAGGAAAAAATAATGAAATCGTTCAGCGTGATAAAAATCTTAGTGTACCAAATGCTACTGATGTGTTCAAATAAAATTGAAGTATACCATATTATAATTTTATTCTGCTGATTCCACAGGGAACTCTAAACACTTTTCACACTAGATATTTCTTGTCTAGCCACACCTTGTCTCAAGGAAACATGAATATTTTATAAATATTTCTGAAATACAAGTATTTTTGCCTCAAGTCACTTTCACTCTCTAATCTGCTTACTCTATTGTATGCCAACACAGTTAATGCTACTAGTAGCTTTGTACCTTTTAGAGCTTTATTATGGATCTTTCTAATAAACATTAAATTAATATTAAATTGGAATTATGTACATTGTGCAAGATAATTCATAACCAAGCAATATTCATATTACAGGATAATCTATTATATCTATGAATATTACATTGAGACTGAACAAATAATTACACAGCTAAAAATATTACTCTCAAGTCCTCTCTCTCTTCAATTATTGTAGTCAATTCGTTAAATTTTGCTGACAGTTGTATGACCTGTTATCAAAGTACTCCATAATCCAAATGTGTCTAAAAGTATTCCCAATGCTTCTTTCATTCTAGAAAGCTAAAGGAAAGCTTGAAAGAAGAGGAAAGGAAAGCCGACTTCTAAGGATCTAATTTAGATTAACATTGCCATTCAGAATGAATAATTTTGAAATGAGAATGTTCCACTCTGTGAACTAAGGTTATTAAAGATTTACAGTTAGTCCAATATTGGAGGATTTTAAATTTTAAAAGAGTTAAGTTTTTCTCAATGGCCCAAGACTGCAGAATTTCACACTACATTGGCAAGGAAATGTGTTGAAATTCCAGACCTAAAGTAACTTTTTCAAGGTTACAAATTCCCTGATTTTTCTGAAGGTAAAACTGGCAAAATGATCCTGGCTTCAAAATGAAATGGCTTGGTTGACTTCGAAAATGTTTGGCAAAAATTATGAATGTCATCAACTCTTTAACAGTAGGAAGAGGTCTTTGTGGGGGGAACTCAGGATACAGTGACTAGAACACAGTGTCTTATGCTGACCACTGCCGAGTCTTCTGGAGCATTTTCAATGCCTTGAATTTCAAGTTGTCACAATGTCTTATGTTTTGAATAACATCATGAATCAAGAAAGATGAGGAAAAAACATTTAAAGTTGGTTTTCATGCCTCATTTCAGAATAAAGATTTCCTTTACCCTCCTAAGTAATAAAAGATGATATGTCTTGAAACAGCTGTAGACAATCAGAATGTGTTCATTTATAAACAAGTCTTTTTTGTATATTCTAGCACCAATCTTTGCCTATGAACTACAAAATCAATACCCATAGAGTCAGCTTGATTTCCTTTCACTGGGCTTCTGTGAATGCATTTGGAAGTAGAAGGATAATCTGGGAAGTTTTTCCATACTATTTTCCCACTTGCCAAACATTAAATCTAATTCAAGATAAATCTTAAAAAAAAAAAGTTTGTTTTTAAAAATAACTAAGTTACTTCTCATTGATAGGAACAATTTCTTTTTTTTTTTAGGAACAGGAATATAGCTATCGCAGGCTCTGTTCTCTTACCATTCTCATATAGTTACACGTGGAATTAATCTCATCATATACACCTACCAGATTTATCTATTGGATTTTTTTGCCCTTGTACAATCTTTCCAGACTTTTTTTTCATAAATGCTCTGTACAATCACATGTAAAATCATGAGCTACAAACCTCAATAAAAAATGTCAGTAAACAATAAGTGATGTAGTCACTGTTATTATATGGGAGTACCAAAACTTTGGTTTTGGGACAGTATTTCAAACCACAGGATAATTGAAACAGACTTCTAATATATTTCCTGGCTATCCCCACACCCTGCATACATTAAAAGCAAAATTCCAGCATGGTTTACCTTTTAATATTTTCAGAGAACTGCCACCTAAGGTATCTATAAGGTGATTTGCTTGTTCCAGAAGGATAGGAAGTTAAAATAAGAATTTACTATTTGCCCCTCAAGTTTGCCCATACTGAGATATCATCAAATGTAGTTATATCTGTCGCCTAATCTTATTTCTCCTCATCTGAAACTGGGGGACTGGTGGGTAGAAATTATGATGGTCAGTCATCGGTGAACTTCTGTTTCAAAGGAGACTATGGAGCTCTGTGCTGTGACATGCCTTTCTTCTGTCGGATAAAGAGCACAATCAGTACATGTTGTGGATCACAAAAAGGCAAACATCATAGAATCACCATTTTGTAGTGTCAGGGACTCTGATCATTTAGTTTACTAACTCTTAGCATCAGGAAAATTAACACAAATAGCAGCTGGAAAGATCTAATTCAGGTACTTCTTTATAATATTGAAAATACATTTCCGTAGGAATATTTGCAAAGAAAATCAAGAGCAATTATCAGATTCTGAGTGCCCAGGGTATACCTGGCACTTTGAATTGGCTCGTTTAATCTTTCTAATAATATGGTGAAATGGATTTATTTCATGTTCGCTTCACAGAGGAAATTTAAATTCAGATTTTATAGTCATAGAGCTAGTGAATTTTGAACCAAAATCTCACAGTCTAAAGTCCATTTTTATTTTTAACAATGTTATGCTGCATCAACTAAATGACTAATTGAAAAAAAAATTAACCCACCCCTTTTCATTTAAATAAGGAGGCAGGTGGGTAACAGACAGCCAAGAGACTGTTGAAAAAATATGGATCCCACTTTTAAGAAGCTCAAAGTTTATATAAATTACATTTAACTAGGCAATTGAGGGAAAGATCGAGGTTTCACCAATTCTGTATCTTTGAACAAATTACTTTTCTAAGAATAGGTTTCTCATCTCTAAAGTAAATACAATATTTTGTATGTGTTATATAAGTATAAAAGTGTATTATATATGTTATACATACATATATGTACATATATACATATACACATATGTATATTATATAATATTACTTGGCGCACATGAAGCCTTTATTTAGAAAATTCTGAAACAGATTCCAAGTTAGTATGTGTGTGTCTTGTTTGTATTACTACTCCTCCACTCCTACACCAGTACACATAATGTATAGAGAATAGTAGTATAATTCTGGGACGCCTGGGTGGCTCGGCGGTTGAGCCACCTTTGGCCCAGGGCGTGATCCCAGGGTCCAGGATCAAGTCCCACATTGAGCTCCTTGCAGGGAGCCTGCTTCCCCCTCAGCCTATGTCTCTGCCTTTCTCTCTCTCTCTCTCTCTCTCTCTCTCTCTCTCGTCTCTCATAAATAAATAAATAAATAAACAAATAAATAAATAAATAAATAAATATCTTAAAAAAAGAATAGTAGTATACTTTTAAATCAAATTCTAGTTAAAGTTCTACTCTGATCTATGGGACTATTTCATCCCATTGTCAAAGCAGTATAAATTTCTAGATCTTTATATATGCAATCTCTCAACATTTAGTCTTCACACAATAGTTTTACCAATTGTATATCTAGCGATCAAATACAGCATTTTATAATCTGCATTCAACAGGTCTTATTTGATGGGGGAAAAATTAGTTCTAAGTTTAATTATACCTGAGAGATGCTAGATTAAACAAAGTAACAGATTTTTTTTTATTGTAGAATTTCAGAGAATACACTGCAAAATTCCAAGGGTTATATTACACTGTTTCTAAAATTACCTGGCCCTGGGGGGCTCCTGGATGGCTCAGTTGGTTGAGTGGCTGACTCTTGGTTTTGGCTTAAGTCATGATCACCTAATCATGAGATCTATTCCTGTGTTGGGGCTCCTCAGCAGGGTGTCTGATTCACTCTCTCTCTCTTCTTTCTTTCTCTCTTTCTCTCCCTATCTCCTCCTGCTTGTGATCAAACACTCTCTCAAATAAATAGATAAGTCTTTTTTTAAAAAAAATCATCTGGCCCTGAAATCCTCAAGGAATCTAAGGAGCAATACATTGAGCAGTATTAATCCATGGAATTCAGTATGTGAAACACTATCCAAAATATTTTTCTTACAATTGAGTTTTTCACTTTTTTTTTAAGTATTCTATGTCAGTGAAATGCTGGAAGTGTGACTGGGATCTCACTTTCAAACAAGCTCACACATGTCTGCATGGTCATTCCACCCAGTACCAAGGCTCTTACATGGTCTTTGTCTCTTCTTCAGAAACACATTATGCCTTACTTAGGGTTTTTTGCCCCTAGGTAGTGATTTATGGACACTAGGGAATACATCATAGGAAAGGATTAACAAGAGTTTCTTTTTGTCTCAGGACAATCCAGAAGTCCTCAATTTTACAGAAAAATACATCTATAAATATTTTGGGAAGTATATACAAAGTGGATTCTCAAAGTTGGTAATGAATACAGTAGAACTGAAGCTCAAGCATTATTGTTCTACTCCATCATTTTATGTCTAAAATAACATGGTAGAGGGGAAGCTGTATGTTTCTGTGTTCGTGCCTATATGTAATTGCATGTATATGTAAAACACATGCATATGTCTAGTAATTGCCTATATGAAAGATCTTAGCAAAGTGGAGTTTTCCTCATTAACATTTTTATATAACACACTAGGACTATTTATTAGAGAAATTTAAACTAATTTTTTGAGTATGTAAAAGATCTAATTGTTGAAGTGAGAGATACTGCCCGACTTCTATTTGTATGTAAAATGAGACATAGTCACATAGATAGATATGGCAAAAAAAGTGGAAAATTTAAAAATGCCCAGAAAGTTGCATCATTTTGAATTTTGTAGATAAATTCATTTCTAAAAATAACAGTTATAATTAATTGTTTTATTACAATACTAAAAAGTTTACTGACAGTGAAGAATCTTGTCTCAGTATAATATCTAAAGTCAGCTCACCTTTTTCTACTTACCTGGAATGCTTCATACAGGATTTATTCCCAGTCATGGCATCAGAAAATGTTAGCGTCTTATCCAAAAGTATCAAGAATGTTAACAGGCTCCAAAGATTTTAAGTATAAATTGAAATAAAAGATCTTGTCTATATTGCTGATTGTATGTTGTGTGTTAAAGTCAAAACACACCATGGTATTAAACACAAATTCCCACGTACTTAGATAATCCTTACAATGAATATGATCTTTCAGATAATCTCAATTCTCTAAAAAAAGGACATATCTGAATCTTCAAAATAAGATATATATATTTTATATTTCCAAATGGTGAAATCATATCCCAAAACTCCTCTATATTTTTATTTTACTGTTCATGCTTTGCTTATATAAGCTATGAGAATAATTATTTTATCTTCAGTATATACTGTCAATTCTACCAGTTAAGTCATAGTCCAGAAATTGAGTTATTTTTAAATATGGAAGGAAGAAAGGTAGAGTTAATTAAAATATAAGCCTCTTGTCTTGCATTTTATAGGTCTTAAAGCTAAATGATTTCTCACAGTCTTGGAAATTCCTTAGCATAGTGGTAATTGCCACCATTTCATTGTAACTGATGAAAACAGAATTCTATTAATTCTGTTAATGCCAAAGAACACAATAAGAAGAGATAAAAGAAAAAGATTAGAAACTTTCCTTTTAAGCTCAGTCTTTTTTAAATTTTTACTTTTAAGTATAAAATGCTATTTTTCTATGATCTAAAATTTTAATGTAATTGTTTTATAGTTATAACCTAAATACATAGTTTATGTGGTATATAAATTGCCTAAAAGGTTAAAAATAATAACTGATGTTTGGCTTTAAAATTCAAATTGGAGGGCAGCACGGGTGGCTTAGCGGTTTAGCACCGCCCTCAGCCCTGGGCGTGATCCTGGAGACCCGGGATGGAGTCCCACATCAGGCTCCCTGCGTGGAGCCTGCTTCTCCCTCTGCCTGTGTCTCTGCCTCTCTCTCTGTGTGTGTCCCTCATGACTAAATAAAGTCTTTAAAAAAAAATTCAAATTAGAGTAAAATCTAAGATTGAGAAGTCAAAACTCATCTAAATCCCTGTGTAAAACACACTAATTCAGTGTAACATTTTAGTCATCTATTTTGAAAAGAGAATATTAACTATCTTATTGCTTTTATGTGTGATTAAGAGAGTCAATAAAATAGTTCAGTGTTTCCCAGCCTTGGCTTCAATTAGAATCACCTAGAGCATGCTAAAAAAAAAAAAATAAAAAAATAAAAATAAAAAAGAAAGCCCATGCCTCACTCAAAAACAGTTAAATCAGGATTTCTGGGGGTGGTGCCCAGGTATAAGTTAATTTAAAACTCCATAGGTGATTTAATGTGCAGTTTGGGCTAAGAATTGCAGAGTTAACTGTTTAAAAAATATTGGTTAAGTATTTTCATTAATCATGTTTGAATATACAACTTTGTTTTTAAGCAGAAGATATATGAGAGAGAGTGAAATAGAAAACTTCTTTCCTCAGATGAGCCTAGTTAATCACCTAATTATGGTTTTCCTCCCAATTTTTAAAGATGGATAGTATATTGTTCACACAAAATTCAACTAGATTCTTAACCGTATCTTTCATTGTTTAATTCATGGAACAAAAATTCTTATTCAAAATATGTGAGTTCCTTTCACCAATTTGAGTCCATAAATATCGTAGTAGAAAAGAAGTCAGTTATTAATTTTACATCAGGCAAAATTCACAGACACGTATCAGGAATTGTTTATACAGAACAAAAGCTTCTTCACGTTTTCTCTGGACATTTGACTATTGTCAGACCACATATCTATGTGGTTTTTTGGCACAGCGTCATAGCTATCCAAGAGTCTACTTCTTGT